GTACCAAAAAAAAAAAAAAGAAAGAAAGAAAAGGAAAAAAGCTGGTATGGTGGTACAAATACCTGTCCCAGCACTCAAGAGACTGAGGCAAGAGGATCTTCATGAATTCAAGGCCAGCCTGAACTACATAGCAAGACCTTGTCTCATAAAACAAAACAAAAAAACAACAAATAGAGGAGCTGGAGGTGTGGCTCAGTGGTAACAGACTTACACAGCATGACAGACCCTGAGGTCAATCTCCAGCACAACAAAACAAAACAAATATGTGATGTAATGCAAATGTCAGTTTGCAGTCTATGTATATATACTTTAAAACATCATGTTGTACACAATAAATACAAATTTATCAATTTAAGAAGAGTTTTAAGGCTATGGGTCTAGATCAGTTGTAGAGGACTTGGCCTAGCATGTATGAAGCCCTAAGCTCAATCACCAGCACTGGTAGAAAAGAAAAGAAAGGAGGGGATTGAAAGAGAGAAAAGGGAACAGACAGAGAAGGAAAGTAGCAGCAACACGTTTGTAATCGCAGCTCCCTGGGAAGCTGAGGCGAGAGGAGTGCAAGTCTGAGCCCAGCTCGCAAGACCTCTTCTCAAATTTTAAAACAATTCCTAGGCCAACCAGGCTGGAGCTGCAGAAGCTGGAGGATGGGGCTGTGGCAGAAGGACTTGGCGCTGCGTGCACGGCCTCTGTCTGTGTGCAGTCATGAGAGGAGACAGAGCCCTGAAGCAAAGAAATCTGGATTAAAGAAGAATTCAAGGCCCACGCAAGCCAATTGTTATCAACTGCACAGTTCTCCGGGAACTGCAAGTGGTGAGGATGCATCAACCTCCCAGTGTGTCCATGCAACAAGATTAGCGGGAGAAGGGTCTTATCTTCATTCTGGAAATGTTCCTATCCAGATAAACTCCATACCTAAAGAATATGTTGAAAATCCAAGCTGCAGAAATACAGGGTCAGGTGTCCACAGCCACTCTCATGGATGTGTGCACAATTGTTTCTGGAGTGGCTCCCACAGTGCACCATGGCAGCCTCGCAGAGTCTGGAGGGCGTGGAAGTAGCTCCTTCTCAGTGTGTAACAAGTTTGATACTGAGAATAAAAATATATGGAAGGCTCTTTTGCAACCACTTGAGAAGTGCTTATAATCCAAAGCACTTGTATATCAAAGCAAATTTCCCCATAAGAAATAATGGAAAGTCGTGCTGGGCTGGGTGGTGCACACCAGTAATCCCAGCATTCAGGGGCTGAGGCAGCAGGATTACCGCAAATTTGAGACCAGCCTGAACTACATAATGAGTTCAAGGGCAGCCTGAACTACATTGGGAAACCCTGTCTCAAAAAGAAAAAAAAAAAAGAAGAAAAAATGAAAACTCAAATGATTCATTCCACCACCCCAAAAACGTTCATATAAAAATGATTATAATATGTAATATAATACAAAATATAAAGAAAAATAAATTAACGTGCACTTACCTTTGAAAACCATGGCTGGTATGAAGGAGACAATGTAGGGAACAGGGGAAGGAGACGTTACCAGAACTTCTGCAGTGAGTTCTGGTCTCCTGCGAGCCACGGCAGCACACAGCGAATTACAGAAAAAGTAGACAAATGAGACTGAGAAGAAGCTGAGCTTTGGGTCTGATCAGTGCTGCTCTCTCTGGGCAGCAAAGACAAAGCCCCCAGCCCACCACACCTTTTATTCATTACCTTGTAACAAATGATTTGCAGAGAATTCAGTACATCTGGAGAAACAAATG